GGAAGTGAACTTAGTCAAATGCCTAAGTGATGTGGCTCTACGAAGAAGATTGATATTTTGTAACTAACCTTGTTCTTTACCCTAGTTGAAATATAGATATAAGTAAATAAGTATAGAAATAAATATATTATTTGTATTTCATTTCAGTATGCAGTTACATTTCATATAGTTAGTAGCAAAATGACGATCAGTGCGATTGTAATTATGATTGTTTACTGCAGTAGTGATGTAGGCATACAAGTGTTTGGCTGGTATTCTGCATCAAATTCAATTGTAAACATGAGACTTGGTAAATATTTACCTATATCTTGATATATATACTGTTCTTTCGCTTGTAACATCTTTTTATAGGTTAATTTCCTTAGTTATTTGCTGCAAGTGTGTAATCGAAGATAGTACACATGTTATAATTAGTTGAAAGAATACATCACACTTGGCATTAGAAAAGTTTACAGATGTTAGACTGTCCTAGCTCCCCCAACCACAGGTGAATATCATGTTAACAATTATGTAAGTCAACCTATTGTTTAACAGTCAGCCAGGTGTAACCTATTGTTTGACATTCAGCCAGGTGTAAAAAATACCCTGTTAGGCCGAGGCATTGTTTACATAACGCGTCCAGGGTGTGACAGAAGGTCCCCAGGGCATTTAGCATGAATCATTACCACCATTTACCTTTTATTTTTTTGTAACAGTGGCCAAAATAAAGTGATATTAAGAGAAATCGACATAAAATCAGGTGATATTAAAGAAATGAATTGCATAGATTATATAGCAGGAAAAACGGTGCATCAAAAAAAACATGATAATAACCGAAAAGAGACATGAACAGACGTGATATTAGGTGAAATGTACTGATATACCTTACAACTCACCGTAAATACAATGGTACTATAGAGGGCAACAATCTAATTAAAATTATATCTTCACATCGCTCCCGTTTACTGATATGTCGCGTTGAAGATCTAACAACATCCCGTAGAGGGTCGTGTTCAGGCGACCTTTGCATTAACCAATCAGAAGAGAGCTTACGCATTTCTTAAGTGATGATGGAATGATTTCGGAACACACTTTCTATGTTAAAAGACCGAGAAGTGTCAAATGAGCATCGAAAATGGCGGCGCCCATGACACCACGCCGTGTCTATCTACAAGACAACGTTTGTACAATTTGTGGATTTTGCTTTGAAATAAGAGAGAACTCCTCTTCTGGTGATGTTGTCATTAAAAAGTTTAACAACCTGAAACTAAAATTACTCTATATACTATTGGGCTACGAGGTGTCTGCATTAAATGCTACAGGTCCTGCTTTCTGATTGGTTGAAAGAAAGAGTTATGTCGCGTTTTGATTGGCTTGTTATAAATACGATAATGCATTCATGTTGACCTCTGACGTGACCCTCTATGGGATGTTGTTAGATCTTCAACGCGACATATCAGTAAACGGGAGCGATGTGAAGATATAATTTTAATTAGATTGAGAGGGCAATTGATACCTATATAATAGGCCTTGTTGATAGTCCAGAGTGCTTTCATTGCAAAACTGAAAATGAAAATAGTTCATATATTTTAGGGAATGTCAAGAAGTACTTTTATTTTTAATACCATGTAAAATTCAGCTAGATGAATTATTTAATTCCACTATTTTTAATAAAGAGTCTTAAATTTGGTCTGTATGGTTAAAACAGTATTATATTAAGTTAAATTAAATTTATATCATAAAAAATAAACACTAAAAGATGTCGAGCATTGATGAAGGGTATTATTTTATTAAATTATAAATTAAAAATGTGTATGTTTATTTGCCGAATCTGTATTATCAAAAGATTATTACTATCCATGTTAATTATGTAATTTCATGTACCTAGGTAAATTTCAAATAAAGTTCCATTACATATATCTGTACACAGACTAATTTTGTTTTGCCTTACATTTCCAGTGTTAATTGATTCTTAGTGATAAAAAGAAAGGAAAATAATTTACCAACAAACAAAAAACTATATAAGACTAAAAAAACATAATAATAGATTCTGTTATGATTAAATAAATTAATGAATTAAATTAAATGAATTTGAATTACATTAATTTATTTAAGATCGACTAAAAATCAATAAAAAGTATACAGTTTAAAAAAAAATGATTGAGAAATAATTTGACGATCATGATTGAAATGTTTGTCGGTGTGGAGAATTTCTTTTTAGTGTATTCGAGTTGTCTTTCTTTGAACACTGATAAAGGTTTTTATCTTGTATAGCATTTTCAAAGGCTTTGTTTGCATCATACTATATAGGCTGTTTTGATTATTTCTTCTCTTGTTTATGAAATATTCCTTTTTTCTTCAAGATTCTATACAGTAATATTGTACAGTATTACAGTATTACAGTATTACAGTATTACAGTATGACAGTATTACAGTATTACAGTATTACAGATTACAGTATTACAGTATTACAGTATTACAGTATATACTGTAACGTTGCTGCTGCTACTGCTCTAGTATATGTATGTAAAGTCCAATCCCACACCGGGTATCCCGATACAATGAACCGGACCAGGCACAAATAACGCATCTAGTCAAAATGATCAAGCATTGATTTACTTAGACAAAAGCATTTATTTCAGTTTATTTAACCATGACTTTACAAACTGACCGTTAGTGTACATATCTGTGAAATTCGGAGAAGAAATGACATCGCTGAAGCTATTTGATGAGTCATTTAACTTTTCACACTGTTTATTTTCTGTAGTATTTGTACACTTGTATTGCCTTTAAAACGTTTTCTGTACTTTTTTAACTTTACTTCACACTGTTAGTAATGATTGGTGACATCTACTGCAGAGTTGAGAGTAAATTCGGACAATGCTATGTTTTTACGATAGGGGGTTGTCATTTTTGGGCACAAATAACGGAGTCGTCGAGCACAAATGGCCTCGTAGTCGATACGTTTAATTGG